CTGTTCAACACCCATATTTGCCAAATGTCTTGAGCAGCATTACCAAGGCAATCAAAACGAGGCTGTTATGAACCTGGACCACCACTCCCTGGATTCCTGCTCTACTGGATTGTTCACCACTCTGATTTCACCACTTAACTTGCCTAGTTCATTCATATGATCTGGATTTCCATGCTCTTATCTATGGACTGAGCAACCACGTCTGTTACTTCCTCCATATATTTTTTAAATAATTAAATGTTTATATTTATTTATTTATTTGAAAGGCACAGTTATATAGAGAGCATATCACTTCTGCTGGTTTACAGTATGAATCACTTCAACCGCTGAAGCTGTACCAGTCTAAAGCAGGAGCCAGGGGCATCTTCCAGGTCTCCCACAAGGGTTCAGGGGCTCAAGCATTTGAACCATTTTTGTCTGCTTCTCAGGAACATTAGCAAAGAACTGGAGTGGAAGTGGAGCAGTTGAGATATCCCCATGGATGCCCATATGGGATGCCAGCACTGTAGACAACAGCTTTACCCACTATGTCAGAACACTGGCCTCTCCTACACATTGTTTTAAGAAGCCAATGGGTATCTGTCAATGCTTTTGTTAAATTGATGTGATGATAATTCTACAGATATATGTAGGGCAATCATCTCTATCCTCCCATAACCATTTGGCCAGTTTCTTGCTGTCCTGCCTTATTGTTGCCTAGATTTGTGTTGGACATGGAGTTCAACAGTAGCTTATGGAAAAATGAAGACTCTGGCCTCTCCTTCTTAGGTCTGCTTTCCTAGCTCCTTGTCCACAACAGAGGCCCTTTCCTACACTAGGTAGTTGATTGGGGGCCTAGGGAAGGTGCAACAAGATTAAGACTCTCAATATTCCAGGCCTTCACTATGCCCTCTGCCTAGATACAATCACTATTGCCCCATCCCCTACATTCTACCCACTGTCTCTGGTTGCCTAAATCCTACCCACCTTTCAGTTCTGAGCTTAAAAAATGTTCTCTTCTTCCTAAACTTTGTTGTTTTTCCTCTTCATCTGGATTCAATTTTCCTTTAAGCCCCTGGGGATGCCCATCTCTCATTGCAGTTACCATACCATGACAATGCCCAACACATACACATACTTATCTTATTCTTTTACTAAATGTCACATTCCCAGAAACAGGGAACTTGCTTATTAAGCTCATACAACAAATAAGTAACTTCTGGCATCCTCCACACCATAGCCCAGACAGAACTTGGTACATAAATATTTGTTGAATTGAGTTAAAAGAGAATGAATTGAATACATGCAACCACATGTGGGTGCCCTAAATAACAATAGTCTGTGTGGACAAGGTTGCCCACAATAAAAAACGAAAAACAAAGGGTCTGTGATCCTCAGATACATAGCACTTTATTATAAATGTTCTGTCTTCACCTGATGAATTTCCTCTATCATGTTGCTATGACAGCTTCCAAAATGGATCAATCTAAGCAGAAATCAGGGTTCAATTCTCTGTTTACTCTCAGAGGTGAATGGTCTCTGTAGAACTTTATAATCCATAGCAGGGGACACAAATGAACCAGAGCCAGTCAACTCTGTTTAGTTTATGGCTACAGCTGTCATTTGGGCCACATCCTCTCTGAGAGACAATCCATACACCCAAGATAAGGTTTCAAGAGGCCCTCAAGCCAGGAAAAATGTTTGGCCAAGTGTTTGTGTCTTCTGTCATGTAACTCTGAGGGTTGCAGTTCCTTTTTCCAGTCCAAAAATAGTTCCAAAAGTAAAACCGATATCAGAAAATGCTCATGTTATCTTTCTACTCTTGGGCAAGTCACTTTTCTCTCTGGATCACAATTTCCTCTGAAAGGAAGGAGATGGGGTTCTTTTGGTCCTTTCCAGCCCTGATGCTCTGGGACTCTATTCTAGTCGGCCAACTAAATTAGCAGAGCCCCACACTACTGGACTTCTTTGTTTTGCTTCTAAAAGTGTGTACACGACTCAGATTTTCCCATGGGTCTCAGCTGGGGCATGCTTACCCAATTTCTGAAAAAGTGTGGCTAGGCAGGTGATCTGTCATCAGAAATATAGACTTAAGCTCAGAAACTGTATAAGGAAGAAGGTTGTTATCTCAAGCTTTCATTGTATCTTTCCTCCATCTGAATGCTCTGTGGCTGATTTCACTTGAAAATACTCTTGCTTTAGTTACTACAGACCTCAGAAGGGAGACATGGGGATGGAAGTTTTAGCAACACTGTTGGAATTATTAATGTGCAAGCAATTATTCTGGCAATTGATTTTAGATTACATTGTGTAGACCACATTCAAGTTTAAGTTTATGAAATTCATCAGCAGATAGTAATCTGTAATTGGAATCACTATTATCTTCTATTTAGTTTGTTGAACCAAACACTGTGATGATTTTTTAGAATGCTAGTGTATCAAAATTAGAATGGAATCTAGGACTCAGTTTCAACTCCTGTTTTACAGGTGGATGACTAAAATGTATAGGAGTAATGAAATAGCACCCAGGACCACCTACTACCAGGTTCATAAGCTTCACATGCCTCCAAAGCAGAGAACATCAACATTGTGTCCTTTAGCTCATACACTTCTCTGGGAAGATTGCCTTTCCAGACTCTCTATTTAGTCTCCTTTTTATTAAATCTCAATAAGAGCATTTTAACTGGTTCCCAATTCTCAACGTTCTTAACAAAATTTAAGGTTCATTTGTTTTTTTTTGGAAAAGCAGACATACAAAGAGGAGATATATATATGTATATATGTATAAATTGTATGTATGTGTATCTGTGCATATATGTATATGTGTGTATATATGTATGCATCTGCTGGTTCACTTCCCACCAAGCCTCAATGGCTGGAGCTAAGCCAATCTGAAGCCAGGAACAAGGAGTTTCTTCCAGGTCTCCCACGTGGGTACAAGATCCCAAGGCTTTGGGTCATTCTCTACTCTTTTCCCAGGCCACAAGCAGGGAGCTGGATGTGAAGTGGAGCAGCCAGGACAAAAACTGGTGCCCATACGGGATCCCAACACATTCAAGGCACGTGGCCCTCTACTTCACAACATTCTAAACATATGCAGACATACAAGAATAGCCAGTAGACTAATTTAATTACAGGAGAGTACCAGAAAGAAGACCTAAACTTTGCAAATACGTTATAGTCTTCCAATAATCCAGGAAAGACGAGCAGCTTTACACAACTCCAGATTTCCAGGATTCTCACTTCCATGTAGTAATGGGATGATTGGAAATCAGAGCAGTTTCCCTGGATCATCAAGAAAGGTTAATGTGTTTTACTTAAGACAGAAAAAATTTGTGTAAAGCACTTTAAAAAACATATTGCAACTAGAAGAAATTTTGAAAAATAATTATAATTACGTGAACCTTCAGCTATCTAGAAAACTCAGTTTCCCAAATCACACAGCAAGTGAGATTGTCAAGAAGTGACATTTCAGTTGTGTGAGGAAAGGCATATTCTACAGTAGAAGGCTGAAGTGAGTTCGCAAGTATTTGCAAAAAAAGTAGCAAATAGCAAAGCCATGATCTCATCTTCTGTTTACACTCCAATTCCCAAAGTTAGCGATTAATTGTCCTTGTGTTTTGTTGCCAGGGCAAATTGTTTTCCTTTAAAACTCTCTCTTATTTTAAATAAATAAACCATTAGTTTCAAAACAGAAGTGTCAAATGTCAAGATAGTCCTGACATATGAGGTTAATGAGAAAAATAATGAATTCATTAGAAGCTACTAGAGATAGGCAGACTTGGAGAACTTTCCTTTAATGACTTAGGAAAGCATTAGAACTCATTCTTGTGGAAAACATTGTCATGTATCTTGACCACTGTGTCACGCCAGAGGGTTCAAAGACAAACTCAAGCTTGAAAGCTTGAAAGGTTGGGTGTGAGATAAGAGTGTGGGCTGGGTCAGGTATTCCTAGCCAAACAAACCTACCAAGTAGCTGACCTTCCATGCCTCCCAAAGCAGTCCAATCAAATAATCTTCACAAGATTAAGGCTTTCTGCTTCAGCCTCTGAATCTGCTGAGTTTTCTTTCAGCAAATGAGTAACGTCTGACACATAGGTTTTTAGCATGCACACACACATTCATGCACTCACACAGTTTCTGAATGATTTTAGTAAATAAGTAGTTTCTGTGCGTTTAAGAGTTTCTATCAAGTGTGCTTCTGTTAACATGACTTCCCTGTTCAAATGTTTTCATTGTCTTTCACTTTGTTCAAGTTCCATCAGAATCCACTTTCCATGTGTCACTCCAAGTGCATCTTATGTAATTCCTGAAGCTGCTCTTATTCTTCTTAGGATGGGTCTTGCATTTTTAGCTGGGACAGATATTTATTGGGTAGGTACTATTTGCCAATCACTGAAGATACATCTGTAAACAAAACAACCTCCTGCTCACCTCACCTAAAACTCTAGCTCTAATGTGGATCTCTCACCTCCTCCCTGGTGCACATGTAGTGTTTGTGCTACTGTTGAACCATGGGTTATACTACATAACAGTTCTCTCTATGCCTGCTCTTCTCATTCAGTACACAGCACCATGTCTTCCTCATCTCATTGCTTCTATCTCATCCTTTTCTCAGTGACAGGACTCACTAGATGCTCAATGGGTAACCTGAATTGCGTACAAAGTCACACGTGGAAAGTTCCTGGTGTGTATAGACTTAGTGAGGATGCCAGACTCTTTTCAAATTTTAACCTGAGTTATTTTCAATTAATAAGCCACATGGGATGCCAACAGGAATGCTAAATGGAAAACTAATTCTGAGGAAATTAGCTGAAATGCATGAAAATGCTCAGATGGCCATGTTGACTTTACCTGTGATACGTCTTTCCTTGGCTCCCAGAATCAGTTCCCTTCTGTTTAGGTATCCCAGGTTACTGGATCTCATTGCAGACAACCCATGTATCTTTAATCCTGGAAATACGAAAAGAAACTAAAATGGAAAGTTGTTCATATTGTTTTCTTTCTCTTTGACCTCAAAGGTAGAAACTGAAGATCAGGTGCTGGCGACATTCTGTGGCAGGGAGACCACAGACACAGAGCAGACCCCTGGCCAGGAAGTGGTCCTTTCCCCTGGCTCTTTCATGTCCATCACTTTCCGGTCAGATTTCTCCAATGAGGAACGATTCACGGGGTTCGATGCCCATTACATGGCTGTGGGTAAGTTGGAGGACAAAGTAGCTCATCTCCCAGCCTCCCTTTCTTACTCAGCATGACAGCGTCCTGCGCCTGCAATTTTCTGGTGAATCTGCATTTTCGCAACAACCCAACTTTGTCACCTTACTACACTTGTTCCATCACAAATCTATTTATCCAAATTACTCCCTATCCACCCAACTCATTTTTTTATGTATGTAGAGGCAGATTTTAAACATCAGTATACTTCTTTCTGAACAGACCAACATGCCTACCTTTTTGCTACAGTTCAGTTTGCTCTTTTAATATGTAATTTACATACATTGAAAGTCTTAGTAAACATTTGTTGATTTTGAAAAATTTTTGCTTAAGGAAAACTTGAATTTTACCATCAGCCCAGAACATTTTTTTAAGCTCATTTCCAGTCAACCCCTGGTCCCATCTCCCCTTGAGAACATAATTATCTAAACATAATTATTTTATTTTTTCTGCCATTTCCTAATAATTTTTTGCCTCTTCTAAAACTGCACATAAGAATCACAAAGAAAATGCACTTTGAGGGTGGGGATTATTTTACTTCATGTAACATCTTTGAGATTTCTTCATGCTATTACACGCATTAGTCATTTGCTCCTACTCATGGCAGAGCAACGTTCTACTGTATGAATTTACTACAGATAGTTTGTTGATCGACACAGAAGCTTTACTTATCTTTTTTCTTTCATTAAAGTTTCTAAGAGCTTCCTACACTAGTCTTTTTATGAATATATGTTTTTATTTCTATTGAATAAGCAGGAAATTGTTGCTTCCTAGAGGCAGTGTATGCTTTGTTTTATTATTTCTAAAGCAATCGTGTAGTTGCATTTATGTCCACCAGCATGTGAGAGCTCTGACTGTACCACATCCTCAGCAGTAGTTGTCAATCTAGAAGTGTTTTAAAATTCATATAAATATACATATATATATATACATATATATATATAAATCAGAAAGATTTACTGATAGAAGAGACAGAGAGAAAGCACTTTCATCTGCTGGTTCACTCCCCAAGTGGCCACACTGGCCAGAGCTAAGTTGATCTGAAGCCAGGAGCCAGGAACTTCTTCCAGGTTTTCTACATGGGTGCAGGGTCCCGAGGCTGTGGGCCATCCTGTACGGCTTTCTCAGGCTACAGGCATAGAGCTGCAAAGGAAGTGGAGCAGCAGGGATACAAACTGGCACCCATATGGGGTCCCAGAGCATGCAAGATGAGGACTTTAGCTACTAGGCTACCATGCAGGGACCCAGTCTAGAAGTTTTTATCCACTGCAGCATATATGAGCAGTACCTCATTATGGCTTAAATTACATTCCGCTGATGACTAGTGAGGTTGACAATCTTTTCATGTGCTCATAATACACATATATCCCTTTAGGATAAATGTGTGTTCGAATACTTAGAACAGAGTTTGATCCCATTACAGGCTTAGGAAGCTGCAGCAAGGAACAGAAGAATCTGTGTTGGAGTCAGCTTACCTGGATGTGAATCCTAGGTTTGCTACTTACTGTCAGCCTGGCTTTGAGTTCTTTCATCACTCTGTGTTTCAACTTCAGCAGTGATCGTCCAGCTTCCTAAGGTTGTTGCCTGACACACAACTGTTGTCATAACCGCAAGAGGACAATGGTTGCACCAATAGTCAGTGAGCTTGGGTTTGAACCTCGTCTCAGATAAGTTGCATGACCTCTCTAAGCCTTCTCATTTGCAAAATGAAGCTAGCTGCTATATCTGATTTGTATGTAGGTATTAACTGAGAGAATGCAAGAACATCCCTCTTTGCCACACACACACACACACACAGTAAATGGTTCATGCTAAGTGTTATATGAATGGTGGCTGTTTTCTACACTGTCATGCACATGTTGATTGACTCAGAGATTGTACCCACCCTGCAGATGTGGATGAATGCAAGGATCGAGAGGACGAAGAGCTGTCCTGTGACCACTATTGCCACAACTACATCGGCGGCTACTACTGCTCCTGCCGTTTCGGCTACATCCTGCACACAGACAACAGAACCTGTCGAGGTAGGGCCTAGAGATGGCTCTGTCCCTGAATGCTCTAGGTCACATCTTCCAGTAAGATTGGAGGAGGCTCAGAGGAATGAAAGCCATGCAGTAGGAATGAAAGCCATGTTTAAAATGAAGTCAGAAACACACTTGAGATAATGTACAAAGGAAGATGTAAAAATATGCACGAAGGCTGGAAGCCCAGCTTCTCAAGTAACTGCAAGAGAAAAGTTTCAGACTATTGGGTGATCTTTATTCCTGAGCAAGCATTTCTGTTTTGTAGGTCCCTGTCTCCTCTGCAACTGTAGGGGCTTGGCGTGGCTGAGTTAGGTGAAAACTGGGACTCCTCGTCCTTCTTCCCTGAGCCATGGACTATGCCTTTCCCAGTTTTACTTTATTCTCTTCTTTCCATGACCACTAAGCTCTTCTAAGTTCAGCTCAAAGAAAGAAAGAGAGGAGAGAAGGAAAGACAAAGACAATAAGAAAATGTCTCCTTCCCCATTTTCATCTCATTATCCTGCTCCCTGTGCAGCAGTCTCCAGGCTGAGCAAGAAAGGGAAAGAGAGGGAGCCACAATTCTAGAAGGAGCTCCTGGGCTTGCATGGCTATAGCCAACTAAGCACATGGTGGGTTGCAGCAAAGGCTCCATTTGCTGCTCCTAGGTAATGGCAATGTGGATACAGCACATTCACACGTAAGCCCACCTGGAGAAGCTTCCCTGAGATGGTAAACCCTTCAAGAAATGAGAAAGTCAGGAGAAGGAGGGCGTCCCAGGGCAGTGCTGTAACAGCTTCGGAGTGTTGGAGTGTGCTCCAGGGGAAGCCTTTGGGCTAGGCTCTCACACGTAAGTGGGGGAGGGCTCACGGGAAGAGGGAGAGAGAGAGCAAGAAGTGGGAGGAGAGCTTCCAATGGCTATTTTCTTCCCCCAAATGCCTGCAACAGCTGAGGCTGGACCAAGTCAAAACCAGGAACTAGAAACGCCATCCAGCTATCCCACAAGCGTGGTAGGAACCCTGGTACTTAGGCTATCTTCCACTGTCCTCCCAGGGGCATTAGCAGGAAGAGCTGGGTCAGAAGAGGAGAAGCCAGGAGCCAGTGTTGTAGCACAGTAAATTAAGCCACCATCTACAATGCCAGCATCCCGTAGGCACGCCAGTTTGAGTTCCGGCCACAGTACTTCCTAACCATTTCCCTGCTAATGTGCCTAGGAAACCAATGAAAGACAACCCAAGTGATTGGACCTCTGAGAGAGACTCAGATGGATTTCCCGAACCCACCCTAGCCATTACAACAATTTAATAAAAGAATCAGCAAAAGAAAGGTTAATCTCTCTTCTCTCTCTCCTCTCTCTCTCTCTTCCTCCCTCTATCTTACATTCTGTCTCTCTGTGTCACTTCTTCTCTGTCACTTTACATTTCACATAAATTGGCAAATGTTTAAACAAATAAAATGAGTACCAGAATTTGAATCATCACTCAGATATGGAATGTAGGTATTCCAAGCAGTGGCTTAACCCACTGTACAATGCCTACTCTGAGGGTTATATTTTTTATTGTTTTCATTTAGTATTTATTGTCTACTATGTGGTGAGTACAGTGGGGGTTAATAATACACCACGTAGAGTATAATAAACAATCCTTTATTTCAGTTTCAGCCATGTTCCAAGGAGGCTTCTTTTGATAGCACAAATATGCTATATATTTATGTATACACAATATGCCTGTCTGTGTCTCAGGCACAAAAAAATTAAAGATATCTTTTGTTAAAAACAGCTTGAGCCTGCTTTAGGGCAATAATGTCTTGAGAATACCTGGAATGAAAAATAGAAACAGATGGGGATTCAAGAGCTCCATCTAACCTTTGTTCAACAGCCTGCCTACATTTCTGTCCCACAGTTTCTCACATGCAAGTCAGTAGGCTGAGCAAGCAGCATTGATGTCCCACCAGCAGGATGGGCCAGCACAAGGGCAAAGCCACAGTGGCTATAAGGTGCCTCAGCAGAACTCCAGCATGTTGGATCTTTAGCTAAGTAAAGGTTTGGAAAACAAAACAGAATCCCCAGCATGACTAGGTTCCCAGCATGTTGAATCTTTACCTAACTAAGGCTGCAAAAATAACACAGAATCCCCAGCATTCATGAGATTCACAGTCTAGAGGAGCAAGAAACCCCAACAACTTCCTATAGGCCAGAATGTCAGTAGCAGGACAATACCATAAGGAAACAAAGCAAGGATAGAATGGGCAAGTGGTGTGAAGGAGGATTGAACATATGTAATGAGCCTGCATGAAGATAATCAAAAAGCTCCGCAAAAGCTTATAAAACAAAAGTTTATTTTAATGTCAAAAGCTCTTGAAATCTATACATGTGAGAAGTCTTCAAAAAGTTTATGAAAATGCATGTTATAAAAAAATATTTATACACCAAAACAGTTGTACCCTTTAATACCAGTTTCCACAAACTCTTGAAGCTACACTCATATTGAATGAGAGTCTAGGGCAGCTTCAAGCAGAGCCCTAAAGCAATTCTAGGGAGAGAGGCAAGAAGGGAGAAAGCTATTCAGATGCACCCTGAATATGTTTCTCAAACTTTCCCATCCTAGATCCATTTAGTACTTTCCACCATTAGAGAATCTCAAAAGAAAAGTCAGCCCACAGGGCAAACAGTTCTGAAACGAAAATTGGAAGCCTGTGTTTGACCCTGAAAGCTGAAAGTGCTGCACAATACTAGTGTTGACCTTGAGTGAATCACTTCCCCTCAGTGAATTCAGTCTCCCCCATTTGTCAAATGGGAATATTGATTCCTTCCCTTCCCACCATAGAGGAGCACTGGGAAATTCAGGCAGCAGCAGATGGGCAGGGAGTTATGGTGGCCACAGTTGTGATATGCCACTTTCTCTGCTATGTTTCCCACAGTGGAGTGCAGCGACAACCTTTTCACCCAGAGGACCGGTGTCATTACCAGCCCTGATTATCCCAACCCTTATCCCAAGAGCTCTGAATGCTTCTACGCCATCGAGTTAGAGGAGGGTTTCATGATCAGCCTGCAGTTTGAAGATCTTTTCGATATTGAAGACCATCCTGAGGTGCCTTGCCCCTATGATTACATCAAGGTGAGCCTGCAATGAATGCTTGGAAACTCTCATCAAACATGGGAAAATTGATACTCTGGGTGCTTCATTTTCTCGGGATGGAGTTGAGCTGCTAGTTTTCCAAAAAAAATTCAGTCTTTAAAATAACATGTACTAACTTACTCTGATCTAGCCAAGAGGTCTTCTCTGGCTGCCTAGGTAGTTTGAGGAAGAGAATCAGATAGTCAGATATGCACCTTAAAAAGTCCCTGGGAAGCAGGCCTTGCTTTATGATCATAATCTATGTGGCCACACAAGATTCTATGTTAGGTTCTGCCATACTTCCTAATAAACTTTGAAAAGGGGACTCTTATTTTCGCTTCACATTGGAACCCACGAATTATTCAACTGATCCTCGAGAGAAGGAACTGTGTGGAAGGAAAGATATCACAGGCAAATTGCCTCTTGGTTTATGATTATTCCCAACACAAGGGTGAGATGCAAAGGCAGTCTGTATTTGAGTTGTGGCTGGGATTGTGGCTGGGATGTGGATTTGAGAATCTACAGGAAATAAAGTAAAAAATTCTTGGAGAATGATCAACTTGAAGCATCCAAATAGAACTGAACAGCCAAGCAAACTCAGATCTCATGAGAGGTACTGAGCAGGGGATACAGTGAGTCACCATCAACTATGCACATAAATGCTGGTTTAAACCACTACAACAGTGGGATATTCTAGAGAGAAAACAAGACAGTAAACTTGAAGAGCTAGAGAGAGGAGGTAGAGGCCAAACACAAGGCTGGACAGAAATAGAAAATGAAACTGCCAAGGACAGACCTCTCATGGGTGGGAAAGGCAAGGAAACTTGAAAGTCCATAAAAGAAAACTCCATAACTTTGAGCCTGACTGGCCTCCTCCTTACATCCAGAGGCTAAGGATGCCTTGGCTAGGAGTGGGACAACAGGAAGCACAGGGCATGGGCTTTCCAATGCTGTGTAACAATATCCCAAAGCTACAACAGCTTACAATGATACTCATTTCTTTTTTTCTCATTCTGAATTATCTTTAACCAGACATATTTATGAAGAACAATCAGTTGATGGATGTGTATACACAGTGCATAATGATCAAAGCAGGGTCATTGACATTTTCATATCTTCAAACACATCTACATCCTTTGTGGTGGGAACCTTCAGACTCTTCTGTTCTTTATAAAATGCATAATAAATCTTTGTTTAAACTGTAATCACTACCATGCTGTACAACACTAAAACTCGTTCCTTCTATCTGTTGGTACCCTTTACCTGACTTTGGTCTGTTGCTCTGTTACCTATGCTTTCAAGCCCCTAAAACCCATTCTTATTTCTCTTATTCTCCTCCTCCTCCTTTTCCCCCTTCTTGTTCTTCTTCTTCTTGAATTTTGTATTTTAAAAATTTTATTTTTTATCATGTTTACATAATTTAGAAGGATGCATGTCCACGTGGACCACTGATTAGGATGGAAAGGGTGGAGGAACAGAGGAAAAGTGGATGAAACCATTGTTTCCAATTTTCTTTTTCTTCTTCCTGTATCTGGAGAATAGGGGAGAGAGGGGAGAAGCCACACCCAACATCCTAACTGTATCAGTACTCAGATACAGGGGACAGCCACTCAATGTCATCACATAATCCACTGTGGAGTATACTCTGAGGGCTTAGTTCAAGTGGTTTTGATAGTTCTGAAATGCTTTTGATTTTGTTGCTGCAAAGATGAGGAAATCCTCCCAAGGCCCATTGGCTGAAATAATCCACCTTGGAATCTCTATTCACCCAGATACTTGTTGTCAAAGCTTGGCTGGGAGAGTTGTCCATTTGTTCTGCCATCCATAAACTGCTATGGTACTAGATGTCCTCTGCAGGCCCCAGTGCATCTGGGCATACTGTCCACTGTACAGTCTTTAGCAACTGAGGAGGCCCAGTTCTGAAACAGGTGCTCCATGCTCAAAATATAGATCCTGCAGTTCTGCCTGTGGTTGGAGTTCCAAGTGCAGCAGTTCTGTTGGGTGGGTCTCAAAAGCAACCTCATCTGAGGTGACCACATACCTGACTCCTGCATGTGCCAAACAGTGCAGGATCTGGCTCAGTCTGTCACCCACATCAGACTACATACACACTGGTGGTTGCAGTTGCTGGGTCAGTTCTGTCTCCAACCCCATCTTATGCAAATAATGGATGCTATGGTCCAACCCAACTTTGTCCACCACACCCCTGGCACTCATGTACACAAGCAGAACTACAGTCCATTCAGAATGACCCCAATCATCCCCACTAGGACTGTCCCTAACCCTGGTTCCTGCACATACCTGTATGTACAGCAGACTGGTCCAGTCTGTCCTGCATCCCATTTGACTTTTGCATACACCAATGGTTGCTGCCCCCTAACTCAGTCCAACTGACCCCACTATCCAGCCCAAACTTATGCTGGAGGTGCTGTCACCTCTCCAGCCAGTCCACCCTCAGCCCTGGTTTTTATGCTTACCAGTGGGAGAAGAAGTCCATCAGAGAGGAGACCACAGTTTCCCTATTAGGTCCATTCGCAGTCCTGGATCTTGCACTTTCCAGATGGTGCTGCACTCTAGCTTGACAAGACTTGCCCCCATTCCCAGCACTTGCCAATTGATTCTGTGGGAAAGCCTGATCAGCCTGAATTTATTCTGGCTCATGCATGCACCAGTGGATAAAATTGGCTAACCCATCCTGGATCTTCACCTAACCCAACTCACATGCAGGCCAACAGGTGCTATGGCCCTGCTTAGCCTGGTCTGTCCTGGTTCCAGTTCTCACACTCACCAGAAGGAACAGTGGCCCAGCAAGGGAGTCCTCATTACTCCCCTACTGGGCTCAAATCCCTCCACCCCCACTCCCTGCCCTTGACTTTCCTGTGTTGGTGATGCTGCAGCCCAATCTGGCATGACCTGACTCACCTCAACATTTGCTGGCAGGTGCTGTAGCCTGGCCAGATCTGCCCCCAGTTGTAACTCATGCTGGTAGGTGCTGCAGCCTAGTCCAGATTGGACTGCTCCCAGTCCTGGCTCTAATGTGAACTGGCTGGTGTTGTAGCCCAAGCCAACCTGTCCTGCAACCCATCCTGGTTCTCACATCTGCCAGTGGATGCTATGAACTAGCGCATCCTGGCTCACCCCCAGATCTGACCCACACATATGTTAGTGAATACTGTAACCTGGCCTCGGCTAGACTGCTCCCAGTCTTTTTTCTTGCACTCACCTGCAGAGATTGTGTCCTGACAGAGAAGTTCCCCAGGGTCCTCTATGAGGCCACCTACCAGTGGCAGATCTTGTACACATTGGTGGGTGCCTTGCCCTGCCTAACTTGTCCTGAAAGGTATAGCAGCCTTGCCTAGTGGCCCGCATCCATTCCATCTCTTACTGTTGGGTGCTACAGCCCAGCCATGCCTGATCCTCCCCTAGATCCTGCTATTATTGCATTGTTCAGCTGGCGCTGAGACCTAACCCAGCCCGTTCTACGCCTACTCTGGTTCTTGTGATCACCAGCAGGTGGTAGAGCCTAACCTAGTCTGGTACATCCCAAACCCAGTTCACACCCATGTCAAGGTATACCACAGCCATGTCCAGCCAGTTTGCCACCCCCATCCCATCCTGACTTTTGAGCTCATGTAGCAAAAACAACCCAGCTGGGGTGTCCCCAAGCTCCCTGATCAGGCCTGCTCCCAGCCACAGAGCTTCCACATGCTGGTGGTTCCTCTGACCCAGCCCTGCATAGCCCATCCTCTGTCTTGACCTTTGCCATCAGATGTTGCAACCTTACCTGGCCTGGCCTACCCCCAGTCCCAACTCTCACGATGGGTGCTATATCTAGCCTGCCCAGTCTACCTCCCATCCCTGGTTTCATGCAAACTGGTACTTTGCATTCCATCTTGGCTACTGCACATGCCAGGGTGCTAAGGTTTGGCTTAGCTCTACCCGGTCTGCCTTGCCTCTTCCGCTTACCCCTTCTCACCCTTCTCCCTGCCAAAACCAGCCCACAAACTTGCTGACAAGTGGAGCAGTCTTGCTCAGCCTGGCCAACACCCAGCACTGACTCATGTGCTCACCAGCAGGAGCTACAGCCCACCAGTGGAGTTCCCCAAGTTCCCCCACCAGGCCCACTGCCAGACCTAGATTTGCCAAACTCAGATGTGCCAGCAGGTGCTAGGCCCTTGCCCAGTATAGTCTGAACATAGTCTAACCCCTCTCTTTTGGCTAGTATGTGCTAGTGGATGTTACAACCTGACCTGCCCTATGCCCTACTCCTGGATGTGCCTACTAGTGCCATAGCCTGGACCAGTGCAGCCCGCTTCCAAGTCCAGTCTCCATGAGTGTTGGGGCTTCCATGATCATTCCTAGCTCAGTCCATCACCCACCCCAACTCTTGAGCAAACCGGTAGATATTGCAGTTCCACAGAGTAATCCCACATATCCCCCACAGAATCTGCACCAGACTTGGTTCTCTCATGTACTGGTCAATGTCATAACCTGGCCTAACATTACCCATCCCCTGTTCCAACACTCGCTGGCAGATATTGTGATCTAGCCATGCCAGGTGGGCTCCCAGCCTTAACTGTGTGTGTCAGTGGGTGATGGTCAATAATATTAGATGCTAACTAGCCCAGCTCAGGTCTCCCACATGTGCAGGTACATCAGTTTGATCCAGAAAGTTCCTCTACTTCCCTCCAAACCACTCGGCCTCAGCCCCCTTGCTTATCTCCAAGTACAATGGACCCATCAGTGGAAGTCATGGTCCCCCAGAAACCATTCCTTACCTGTAATGTATTCCTTCAATGATCATCCCTCCCACACATCCTATACCCACTTCCCTGGCCAATCCACAGTCTCCATGCCCACAAACACATGGTACACAAGCTGGGTCTTCTGATAGGGCAGCGTGCTGGCCTGGAGCTCTCCACCTGCCCACCTGGGACCCCAGAACCAGTCTGTTGTATACATGTTAGCCTGGGATACCATCCTTGAGTCCAGCCTGGACTCAAGGATGTTAATGAGTCTACAAGCCCAGTCCACCATCATACCACATCAGCATGCCAGTCTAGGGTTCTAATACTACCACCACCACTTCCATCCCATCTGTGACCCAAATACATGGGGGAGTTCCCAGGCCCACTCTGCTCTGCCAGTCTCAGTCCAAGTTCCCAGGCCCCTAGAGGCCATCTAAACACTGCCTTGGCAGAAGCATAGTTATGGCATCAACTTTTTGTTGTTGCTTATTTTCACATATGAAAAAGAACATGTATTTTTCAAATTTGTTATTTATTCCTAAATATGTATGTATTTGTTTGAAATATAGAGTAACACACAGAGGGAAGACAGTGAGAGACAAACAGAAAGGGGAGACATATTTTCCACCTGTTGATTTACTCCCCAAATGGCCAGAATAGCAAGGTATGGGTCATGCTGAAGCTTGGAGCCTGGAACTCCATCTGGGTCTCCCACATTGGTGGCAGGGACCCAAGAATTAGGGCTACGCTCTATTGGTCTCCCAGGTGGGTAGCTAGATTAGAACTAGCATTAATGGGATTTAAGCAACCCCTGATATGAGGTTGCATCACAAATGTAGGCATAACCCACTATGCCACAACATGAGCCTCTGGAATACCCATTTCCTATTTGAACCATTCTTTGGGTCATAATAAGCTCAGCTACATTATCTGCTTACGGTTTTGTGAGACTGAAATGAAGGCTTCAGCTGGATAAAGCTCTTATCTATAGGCCCTGGGGAAGTGTGCATTCCCAAGATCACTTAAGTTATGGGCAGACTTCAGTTCCTGACAGTTCTTGGACATCAGAGTCTATCTTCTTGCTGGCCATTAATCTGTGGTCACTCAACATTTGGAGGGAGGTCCTGCAGTGCAGTGTGGAGGGGCTGCCTACATCAGTCGCTACATCTGCTCATATGTGATGCTTTCTCTCTCTTACTTTTCTCAGATTAAAGTGGGTGAAAATGTCTGGGGACCCTACTGTGGAGAGAAAGCCCCAGAAGCCATCAGCACACAGAGCCACAGTGTCCAGATTCTGTTCCGCAGTGACAACTCAGGAGAGAACCGGGGCTGGAAGCTCTCATACAGAGCTGCAGGTAACTCACCCATCCCACATGTGCACATGCACACATGTGAGTGTGCACACAACTCATACGCACCTGCATACTCCCCACACAGAGCAGCTGTGCTCAACACTCACAGGACTGTTGACTCTGGTGGGGCTCCCAGTAGAGGAAATTGGGACCAAGGTTCATGTGATTTTTCATCCATAAAACAGGGCCAAGGGCAGGCATGTTGCTGTATTACTCTGGTCATTTTCAAAACATACTGCCCTTTAACAATCATGGGAGGGAGATTATCTTGTTTCCTCACTCCCATCCCTCAAATGGTGAGCCATTAGACCTGAAGTGGGTCATTCCAGCTCTAGTCTTCTGTAAGTCTGGATCGGGAATTTAGGTGTGGACCAGATGTTCAGACTGTTCCTTTCTGCTTTGAATGTTTGCTTCCTTCTGGATCACTAGATTGGCAAAGCCAATGGATCTCATTCCTCCAGTTCCTGAGCCAACCAGTCTTGGTCCAAAACTAATAGCACCACTTGACCTAAGAGGTCTGTAGCAACTAAAGTAAGAGGAGGATGAATATCAGTGACAAGAAAATCACAGCCGGGCATGACTAATTCAGTTCATAAATCTTGATGCCCTGCCTATATTGTCACATCCAAGGCCTAGACTGGAGAGAGAAGCAGAAAGGGCATTGACAAGAGTTAAAATATATATATATATATATATATATATATATATATATATATATATATAACAGGAATAGGCACAGGCCTGACCGTCTCATCAGATTTGGGCTTATGATCAGAGTCCCACTAAGGCTTTGAAGAAGCATCCAGGGATAAGGGCAATTGGGAATATTCTAGAGGCCCCACAGGGAAAGCTATGCTCAGTGAATGACGTTACAAGGGCACAAATTTCAACAGAATAGAAAAAAATTGAATTTCTGAACTGGAGGACTTCGTGTGCTGAAAATACATGCCTTGGAATCACTTAGTTTCATGTTACTGTACAAATGCACATAGATGTTCCACAACACCTATAAAGATGTAACAAAGGAAGCACCACACAGTTGGATCCAGTGGCACATAGAATGCTTTCCAGCCCTTAGTTTTAATGAGCTCATCTGGTCAACGACCTCATGTTATGAATAGGAAAATGCGGGGCCAAGTTGGAAAATGACTCATAGTTCCAGAGTTGCCTGCAAGCCTGAGAAGGCCAGGCCCCTGGCACTCTGTTCTGTGGGCTTTTTACCCCATCAAGCCTTTTATTCTAGAAGCTGTTTCTTGGTAGTTAAACCTTGCCTTGTTTTTTCACTTGCTGTCTTTTCATTTGTTGCCCACCAGGAAACGAGTGCTCAGAACTACAGCCTCCCATCCAGGGGAAAATTGAGCCCTTGCAAACCACGTATTTCTTCAAAGACCAAGTGCTCATCAGCTGTGACACAGGCTACAAAGTGCTGAAGGTGCAGAGCCCAGTCTGGGGAGGGGAACAACCAAACCCGACAAACCTTCCCGAGTCCCCTGAAGCAGATGGCCCAGAGCTTATCGCAAGCACCTGTAACACAGTTTCCTTCCAAATGTTCCTGAAATCCAAAGCATGCATCCCACACTGTCTCTCACTTCCTGAAACGGCAGAAGTTTTTTTTTTTTTTATATAAGAATAGGACCTCACTTGAATATTTTTTTTTTAAAACTATGGGCAATGCAGCTGTTTAATCATGATAAAAACCTTCAGAATGGTCATCAGGCTTATGGGATAGGTAGTGGAGGGATAATGGAAAGGGAAAACAGGGTTTTGCAGGTGGCAGATGAGCATTCCTTATATTCCTGTCCACTGAACAGTAGTTTCCTAGGAATCAGTTGGTTAAAATTGAAAACTAAAAAAAGCCCACCTTCTCTGAGATCAGTTAAAACAGAATCTTGAGAGCTTGGGACAGGAATAGGTTGTCCTTTGTTGTTCTCCAGTTGAGTACTGCGTGTAGCCAAACTATAGGACCACCATTCTTGAGAATGACTCTCAGAGAGGGGTCCCTAGGCAACATCACCCTGAACTTGATAGAAATAGCCATGCCCATTCTTGGGCAAGCCAGACCCACAGAATCTGAAATTTTTGGTGTGAAGCTCAGGAGTCCACTGCAATAAGCCTTCTGGGTGATGCTGCTTGCTCAAGTTTGAGAACAACTGCTCCAGAAAAGAAGTCAAGCTGACAGGCTTCTCTTAGGAACCAAGCTCCCCAGTGCCTTCCTGCACACAGTCCTGGCTTCTGTGTGAGTGGCATCATCTTCCCTTTACCTTCAAGCTTGCCCTTGGAGGCCCATGGGTGGGAAGTCCTCACAGAGGAGAGCCATGTTTGGAGATCCAGTGCATTTGGATGCTAAGGAAATATTTGCCCCATTCAACCTCCTTTTGTCTCTCCCTCGCTCTTTTCTTGCTGTTTCTTCCCAGGATGACATGGAGATGGATACTTTTCAGATTGAGTGTCTGAAGGACGGGACATGGAGTAACAAGATTCCTGTCTGCAAAAGTAAGAAAACAAAATGGTTGATTGCCAAAGATATTGTGCTCCCTTTACACACACACAAAACACCTGACACACACTAATAAAATCTGAGCACAGACAACACAAAAGGGAAAGCTTGGTAGGAATACTTTAAGATGGATGGAGACAAGACTTAAGAACACTTGAAGACAGGACAATAAGGGTATACACACCCCACTCAGCAATAACACTTTAGGATCCCAACAGAAACTTCTCTTGCACCACACCTTGCTTTCTGAATTCTGATGTCAGTTCAGCCTGCCAATAGGCTGCCAAACTAGCTGGAGGGACAGTGTGTTCCCAGGTAGGGACTCAGCCCATTGCTAATTCAGGAAACAATTTACGTGCTGGTACCCAGAACAGAGTGACTTTGCTATTCTCTGTGTTGCCATATCTATATACACTAAGTTTTCTGAGACAGTTTAGGGATTTGTAGGGAGTGCTGTGAGTGTAGCACAGGGGATGGAGCTCTTCCATAGACTTCAGTTCTTGCCTTGCCTCTGCAGTCCATGCACTCTGACCATGGACAGGTCTATTAGCTCTACTGTAATGTAAAGAAATTTGGGCTAAGTTTAGTGTCCTAGAGTACAGCAGCCCTTAAAAAAGTCTGTGGAAGAATTGGCTTATTTGAGTGCAAGTAACATTTTAAATCCATGCATATTTTTGTAACAAGTATCTTTAGTAAAGTTTTTGAAGCCTCTCCATAGACACCAGTGATTCTATAATAAAGCCCATCTATATCTAGCAATTTCTAACCATTACTCCCTCCCCCAGCCCAGACCACAGTTTTAGAAGCTGCCTTATGGTAGCAGTGAAACAAGGAAGTAGAGTGATAGCAAACAGGAATGAAGGAAGGGGTGGCAGTTACTTTAGAACTCTGAGATGAGGAGTCAACACTTGGGAATAGCTGCTCCCTCTGCCTCCATTCCATGACTTCTCATAAAGATTTTGGGGTGCTGTCCTCTTCCCTTCCTACTAAATGTCCACCAGTGTACCAAGCAGACAGAGAAGTTCCCACTGGGCCAAGGAGGACACTGTCATGCCACACAGCTCCCTTGATGTAAATCCCAGGGAGAACACTGAGGCAGAGTGTGTTCTCAATCTTTCTTTCTCCTGTAATGCTGTGGCTTGAGTAAGGGCCCACTGTGGGAAAGCGGGGCATGTTACGACTTCGACAAATGTTTCCTGGATGCCTGGGCAGGGTTCTGTAGGAATTCAGATGGGAAAGATAACTCCTAACATGGGAGGAGTTCTCAGGGGCAGACACCCCCAACTCTAACATGTGGTTTCTTATAGAGTGCTGAGGCTGAGTTCTGGGACACATGCTGTATAGGACAAGGCAAAGAGTAAAGAGGTTATGGAGTCTTCGGGACAGACTGGATATCAGAAAGCTTCACATTTAGACTCTAGCCATTGAACATTTCAAAGCAACTAACTCAGACTGATACGACCTCAGTTTCCTGCACTCAAAATTGTTCTGTGGACTAAACAGGTTAGCACGTTTGTCACATGGGGAGTAGCTGGAACAATGAAAAGTGTAGCAAAAGCTTCGGTCCCCCTGCTTCCTAACCTAATCCCCTCACTTCCTAGACACTTTTTCCTAGATGACATTTCCCTCACTCACAGGTGTCAAAAGTGGGGAGTACTATTCATAATATTTTTCTGTGATGAAGCAGTTTCTGTTTCAACAAAAGGTACTATTATATTGACAAGTGCTGTTTTAATACGACTTTTCAAACAACAGAATACCTTGTTATTTCCTGCTAAGGAAAAGCGAAAATGTCCTGCCCTGTGATGACCCTATTCTATGCTGATTTAAGGCCACTAGATTTCCTTTTTCAGACACAGCTGTTTCCCACACTCACTCACTCACTCATTGCTGGGTCCTAGGGAAGTTGAAAAGAGAGGGAATGTGAGTGGAATACTAGGAAGAGACTGAAGTTATACTCTGGAACCTGAAGTGGGGATCACGAGCTGTGGTCCAGGCCCTTCTTCCTCCCCTTGTTGTGGTGAAAAATCCTGCTCTGCTCTCAATGCTGTCAAATGACAGGTATTGAATCGTATGACTGCAAAGTCCTCTGTGGGGGCAGAACTTCATCACCCTCATGAGGCAGGGTGTGTGGCTATGCATTCTCTCAGCATGCATAAATTCCGCAACTGCGATCTGTCCTTTACGCTGGCTGTACCTGCACTGTGCATCCTTAATCAATTCTGGTGGAGTGATTTCTGCATTTCCTGCATGAACTGTTCTTGCTTTGCTGGCTAATTTTTCTCTTTTTCTTCTCTCTTCCTCTCTTCTTCTCTCTGCTACCCTTTTCTCTGTGTCTCCTGAACCCTCTTTGATCCTCACCGTGGTGGCAGAAAGAGAAATCAATTTGGAGAGTCCACTGGAGTCAGAGCAAGTGGCAGAATGAATGACGGGACCCCATCAAATGCGGCCATCCAGGACTGGATCACTCACTGGGGCTAATGCTGCTCTACCCCCTCCTACCCATCAACCCTCCACTGCCCATGTCAATGAAGATTAGGACGGATGCTGGAAGAGTCGGCACAGTCACAGCAGTGGAAGCTGCTGGGTTTATGAAAACAAATCCTCTTTTCTGAGGATTCATGCATCATTCAAGCATGACTTTGGAAAATAACAGACAATGAGGGATTCTTTTTTTTAAGTATCAATAAGGGCTTTATTCTCTTCTCAATGAAAAAAAAAAATGCCTTCAGTCCCAGAGACACAGGGTTCAGTATACAATCATGTGGCCTTATGCTAACCAAGCTGAAGTGGGCCCAGGTTTCTAATCTGGGCCCTACTTCATATTCAAGTGAGCCAGAATACCTGTGGCTTTATTTTACAGCTTTTATCTGTTGGTACTATGTTAACAGTCATGAGTAGGTAAAACAAATCATTGTTCATAGGGTGTGGATTTTGAGAATTTGGACATGTTATTCACAAACCACTGCTTCTATTCTAACCTAAGGCAGGGCTGAAATTCCAACATGGAAAGGTCTTCCTTCTAGGACTTGCAAATTTTGTATTTCTTATATCCTTGGATTAAAGGTGTTAAAGTGATACTCATAACAACTGAAAGCAGTGATCCTCCACTCTGGTACTGGGGAGTGTCACTCTATCATAAACAATGACAAAGGTGCTGGAATCTCTGCTTCATCCTGAACAAACTCTGTACACCCATGTCTGAGAACCCTTGAATTACATTGTGACTACCCAATCTATTTGGCAATTAAATGGCCACCTAATGAGAGCAGAATCACAGATGAGTGGACAGTGAGTGGTCTGGTGACCTATAGGTATAGTCTGTGATAGAGGTGCCACCAAGGGAGGAGATGGGCTGGCTACCAGACAAGCATCTGTAAAATAAACCATTTGAAGTCCAAAATGTATTAACAGGCATTGTTCAGTGTGATAGAAGAAAGCATAACTCAAAAGGAAAATTTTATGCATGTCCAAATAAGTGCAACATATGACATGTGATGTCAGAGGGATGTGAATAGTTATAGATCAGAAAAGCTGTCCTGTCCAGTTAGAATAGTTAGAAAGGCTGCCACAAAGAAGCTGTGTGTGACTAAGGTTTCATGGGTAGCCAGAGCATGGGCACAGGGCATCCCAGACAGCAGGGATGGGCAGAGCTTGGCATGCTGAGTTGTCTGGTGATGCTGAAGTGGCTATTCTGAAGGTGGTAAACCTGAGGCTGGGAAGGGGGCTGAGTCCTGAGCACCAGGATTGCGGGCAGTTCTCTATGAAACCTCTGGTTGTAGCATGCTCAGAACTGCAGGTCCAGGAAGCTGAGTCTGAAGAATAAATGACAATTGGAGATGACAGTGAGACTGGTGGGGTGGAGGTGAAGGCACAAGTCCAAGGATTAGGAGTGAGGATGTTTTGATTCCAGTTGTGGAAATGCCTAAAGAGAACACCATAGAACAGGACAGGACCTACAGAAACTGAAGAAGGTGGAATAACTAAGGAGCAGGGAGGAGTCTGGTGTATGCTGATTGTGCTCTGGGGCACTCACCAGGGCGGGCAGTCTGGAGGGCCCATCCAGAGAAGGTTCTTTGCCTGCCAAGGGAGACATGGGAAGCATTTCTTCTCAGCTCACCATAACCAAGCTGACATAAGCTTTTCTTTCTTTTTATTTTCTTTTTACAAAAAGATGTATTTATTTTTTATTGGAAAGTCAGATATATAGAGAGGAGGAGAGACAGAGAGGAAGATTTTTCCATTCAATGATTCACTCCCCAAACAGCCGCAATGATCAGAGTTGAGCTGAAGCCAAGAGCCAGGAGTCTTTTCCAGGTCTCCCATGTGTGCAGGGTCCCAAGGCTTTGGGCTATCCTCAACTGCTTTCCCAGGCCACAGGCAGGGAGCTGGATGGAAAGCAGAGTCACTGGAATTAGAACTGGCACCCAATGGGATCCTGGCACAGCAAGGCAAGGATTTAGTTGTGAGGCTACCACACTGGGCCCTCTTTCTTTCTTCTTCTTCTTTTTGTTGTTGTTGTTGTTGTTTCTTAATCTTTTATTTTTATTGGGAAGGCAGATTTACAATGAGAAGCAGAGATAGAAAGATCTTCTATCCACTGGTTCAGGCTGGAGCTGAGTAGATCCTAAGCCAGAAGCTTCTTTAGGGTCTCCTATGTAGGTGCAAGGTCCCAAGGCTTTGGGTCATGCTCTGCTGCTGTCCCAGGCCACAAGTAGGGTGCTAAATCAAAAGTGGAGCAGTCAGAACATGGACTGGCACCCATATGGGGGCTAGTGCCACAAGACAGATGATTAGCCAGTTGTAACATCACACCAGCCCCAGATGTGAGCCTATCTTTTCCAATACCTATTTACCCATCTATCTGGCTATAGGAATGGTTGTGTCCAAGGGCAAAGGTGCTTCTCTAGAGCAATAGGAAAGCTGCACATGCCATCCTGCTAGCTCGAGCCACCTATCACATCCAAAGCCAGCTCTGAATTCCTCTATCAAGAACGAAGTAGTTAGGTCTTGAGGCAAATTTATACAAACAATCAGACCAAAGCTAAGGGGGTCAGGGTAGCCCCAATGTCTAAGCACCAGTGCATTGCATAAAAGGGAAAGAGAATCCTGCACTGCAATTCAGCAGGAAAACAGATTTAAACTACTTATAGTTTTAATAAGAAATATCATGACTTCTCTCATCCTAGTGTTGACTTGTACATGTTTTCCCTTGCCATGAATGTTTGGGGTGATCACAATAAATGTGAATTATTTGTCAGTGAACTGGGGGCCAGGATAAAACCTGTTTTCCTAGCTTTTGCCTTCCTTGTGGATAAGAGAAAATTATATTTACTCCCTTCTTGCATCCTTTTTCTTCAAGCCAGAGGGCCTTGAGATCACATACATTTTAAGGTAGATAATGCTGTAGTGCAAGGAGAATTTGGAATCCTAAAGTGAAAATCAGTGTCTGAATTGCACTTAGGGGTAAAATCCCCTTTGTGTTTCTCAAGAAAGCAAGTGACATCCAGGAGGAGGGGAAACCTTGGCAGTACTGGTTGACAATGAGCACCCATATGAGCCAGCTAGTACCTGGTGCAGGCGAGCTGACTGGAAAGCAGTCCCTAAAGCACAGTTAGCTTCATTTACTAGAACAACCTCGAGTCCTAGGTCAGATCCAGTTCTCACCCTGAAAGTAAGCCACAGTGTGACCTCAGACTAGTCAGGTCTACTGGGTGGGCTTATCTGTGAAATATAGAGGCTCATTTCCAGCCATGAAATTCTAGGATCCCTCTAAGGTTCTTGGACTCTCTCTAAGGTCATCATACCTAAAATGATATGAGCATCATCCTCTGGAGGAGGACCCTGAGTGATATGAGCATCATCCTCTAGAGGAGGACCCTGGGCTGGGTTCTCAACCAAGGATGTCGGACACCATCACACTGGACACCCTCAGTGCTGGTGACTCCTGGAAGACATGATTAGAATGGAAGCTCACCCAAAGACATCTTCTAAGAAGCAGGTATCTTTGGTCATATTCTACATGGAAACTACAGTTATCCTCAATGCCAAGTTACCAACAGTTGGAGAAATGAGCAGATGAAGGCTAAAAATCAATTCATGCTGACCCAGATCCTGCTTTCTGTACCAAGCATGCTGTGGGGAGAACAAACAGATTGGAGCTGTGCACTCAGGCAGGAGCTGGATTTTAGCTTGGCTTTGGTTTTTTGTTCGTTTGTTTGTTTTGGTGTGTGTGTGTGTCAGACAACCTCCAATGTGAGCATAATAATGGTGCTTACTCAGCCTGTGCTTCGGGACTGGAGGAACAATGGATTATTTGGTCCATGTCAGCCGAAGTTTTCTCCTTGAACAACGAGCTTCATACTGAGAAAGAGAATTGTACAATAGAACTGAATGCCAAGGAGAGGGTTCACAGTAGGGAACAGATGAGATCTACCCCCACCTGAAATTAATAGGAACTCAGGTGAGTTCACCACAGAGCAGCACTATAAATAAATGGGAGAAACCCCAAGAGTGGGGCTGCTGGAAGTGAAACAGATTATATACTGCATAATCCAGGCATACCACTCAGACTCAAATAGTTGTGCATAATTCACTCTCTGCACATCTGTTTGAGACAGTCTCATGGATAGCCCAATAAGAGAAGTGAAAGGCAGTTGAGGCATCTCATGTTTTCTCTTTCAGTGGTAGACTGTGGAGTCCCAGCAGAACTGGAGCATGGGCTAATCACCTTCTTCACAAGTAACAACCTTACTACATACAAATCTGATATCAGATACACCTGCCAGGAGCCCTATTACAAGATGCTGCAGAATATCACAGGTAAGCCCAGTATGTTGACCCAATTTTCTCTTACCTAGAACATCGGGGCCAAAACATGGTTCTAAAACATGGTTTCTAAGTGAAGTCCCCTAATGCAAAGAGCTTCCCCTCAGCCCATTCACACATCCTCTGAGTTCTTGAGGTTGCCCTCAAGAGGTTGCAGAAATTAAGACTAGGGACCAAAACCCAGGCATTTTTTTCTTATCTTTAAATCTAGCTACACTCCCTAGAAAAGCCCCTATTGATGGACTCACAAAGGGTCCACAAGGCTGGCCCAACTAAGAGAAGAAAGAACAGCCAAGTGGAAGCCCAGTTTCCCTTCATGTTGCCCAGGAATGAACTTGGCTAATCTCTACCTCATCTTCTGGCTAAGCATCCTTCTGGCCCAACCAGCACCCATTCAGTGGGCTTGGAAAGAGTTCTTTCTTCATAGACCTGATCCCTTCACATGTTTAGGGTCTGGGTGTGGGAGGAAAGAGGGAGTTCAGGGAGAGGCAGATCTGCCTCATCACAAAGCCCAGCACAACTTCTAACTATGACTCAAGCCCAGCTACAGCTGTCCCCATCCAGATCACATCCATGCCCACAGACAGGTACAGCCCTTGCTGTCCCCAGGAGCTGTGCATCAGCACAAAGGTTTAAGGGCAAATGACAACAATGGCCAATTCACTGGCCCCTGCAAAGGTGTGCAAAGCATTTTGAGGAGAAGCACTTGCAGACAGTGCCTTAACTCAGCTCACTTCTCAGGTCACATTCCAAGAATGAGGATGTAGCACCCCAATACCCTGCACTCCGTCCATAACAGAAAAGGAGCCCTAGGTTAATGGGAGGGCCCACCAGCTCTGCCTCTGTGACTCAAAGTAATAAGAAAATTCTAATTTCTTTAAGTCTCCTGTCTTCTGTCTTCACAAAGGGAGCAGAGACACAGATTACAGAGTCATCGTGAGACTCAAATGGGATCGTGGCCATGAATGCTGCTTAGCAAAGTGTGTGAAGCAGAGAAGGGCATTGTGCTGCAGAGTACTGAGTGAATCAGTCTCTGTGACTCATGAGGAGGAAGTGCTACCAAGGGCTTGGCAGCACAGCTTGGGATACAGGCAGGAGCCAGTGCTAGCCTTGGTCAGTGCACCAAAGAGAGCTGTGTTCACTTGTAAGGACAAAGAGGAACCAGTGGGGCTGAGGAGGAAACATGGTCTGATCCTTCAAGTTGCAGAGAAAGAATGGCACCAGAAAGACCATTTGAAAAGCTGTTGCTATGATCCACCTTAGAAGAGGAAAGAACCAAGATCTGTTTTCCACATACTACAAATAAACCATTTTCCACTTTCCTCCTTTTCCCCTCACACAGGTGTGTATACCTGCTCAGCCCAAGGCATCTGGATAAATGAAGCGCTGGGGAAAAGGCTGCCCACTTGCCTTCCAGGTACCTGACTTCCAAATCCTTTGCTTCGAGGTCTCCCTAAGGTCCCCGAAGCTCTGCTGTTAACAGAGTTATCAAGCATGATGCTTTGATTTTTTTGTAAGGGATGGCTTCAGAAGGTTGAAGGTCAGAGACAGCCATACATTTTCTTAAACCAACCAAACTATAAATTCAGCCTATTCAGCCATACCAATACCTTTCTTCTCTCCTCACTGTCTACTTCTGCACCTTTTCCATCAAACTTTTCATCCAAAACAATCTGTGTGTGCACCTGCTGTTGCTCCAGGGAACTCAGGAGTGGGATCATCCTGTCCTGGAGCACTTATTCCATTTAAAGGAGATGGCAATGTAACACAGATAACAAATAACTATGGCACAAAGTAATAGCTTCTTTCAAGCAGCAATGTGCTCAAGTCTTTCTGATTGCTGCCTTCCTCAGTGTTCACCTACAGACGTCACTTAAAAATGGGACTAGAATTTTATAATGTCAGTTGCATACCGAAGCCTCTGATATTTGCTTTGACATTGTCATTACCTGTTTAGATTGTTCTCATTATAATCACAATGCCCATACATGCAAATTGCCTGAGAAAATTACAGGGTCCAAATATACACAGTAGGATGAAGCCAGTGACTTAGGAAAATATTAAACTCAATATTTGCCATACTTAACATTTTTAAAAGCAAGCATGTCAGTGACTAAATAATCTACCTGGTAAGGATAACAGTGAGAAACACTGAAAATTAAGTGTTCTTCCTGATTCTGTTTGCAAGCTTGCACCAACAATAGTAACAGCTTTACAGTGTGGTTAATATTGGGTGACATTTGTATCTTACTACCTTAATTTGTTAGATAAGCTGAGATAGCATATTAGATGAATGGTATATTCTAGTAGCACTTGTTATTGACATTACAATGGAAAGGCTATGGATTATCTACCACTAATCCTTAAGAACTAAAGAGCACATTAGCATTTAGAGGTTAGTCTTGTTTGCACAAAGCATCTTGAATATTATGAAACATAAAATTATTCTAATACCTAGAGTTTGGCAGAGCCATGTAATTTTTATTGGATCAGGCCAGAAGTTCCTAAATTTTCTCCTCTTAGAACACTGAGATTACAACAGAATGCAAGTGATGGTGGAAAAAGCCATTTTGCCCAGCATTGGGATGTCTACCCTTCCAGAGAGCCTGCTGAGAAATGTTATTTGCACCTTATTTCAAATACATGAAAGCTAAAGATCAGAATGTTGTGGTGATTTGTTCAAGCATGGCTCTAAAGAGCTAAGGGAAAAGCTGGAAGAAAACCCCAAGACTTCTGACATCAACATGAGTGATGCTGAGCCATTCTCTGGCTCTGATCGTATTACATGTCATCTTCAGGAACCTGAACTCCAGGAGAATCACACACACTGTCTTCTAGAGCCTGTGACTTCAGAACAGCTGAAGCTGTGAGATTTAAAAGTTTCTTTTTCCAAGGAGAGAAAAAATAAGGAATGACTGCAGTTGGTAAGAATGACCCAGTTTCAATGAGAATTCCAAAATGTTTACTACATCATTCACCTCTTGAAAGGTCAAAGGCACATCGAACAAAAAATAGAGTTTAATGAGAAAACGAAACTGGAGATCCTTGAACAAATCACTTGCCTTCCTGGAGCCTTCATTTCTCCATCTGTAAATTCTTCTCTGAGGTTTCTTCGATTCTGACGTTCTGTGATCTGAGGTTTGCCAATGGTGCCTTTGTTAGAAAAAGATGCTATTCAGCACTGGCTTTCTTGTGACCATTTACTAAGCCAAAGATATGTCCTTCCCCAGATGAGGTCTCTCAGCGCTGAATGGATTGTTATGCCAAGCCAGTCACAAACCTATCTTGATGCCACCTTCTTTTTTGCCAGCCCTGAACTTTGAAAGAGCACAGCAGACCAGAGTTGTAATTACCCATTTGCATCTGGACTGGGGTGAATGAATGACAGGGTACCCCCGATCATACAAGAAGCATTTGGCATCAGGAAGAACATCTGAAAATCATTAGCTCACTAAGAGGTTGTCCTCCCAAAGTTGCCAAGAAAACTAAAATATTCCTGGGTCTCTGAAGAACTATTGGGAGCACTCAAAGTCAAGACGGTAGCCTGGCAATTACAACCTGAAGGAGGTCCACACTCATGGAAAAAGTCCAAGCAACATTGTTTTTAGCCAGCGGGGGCTTGTTACTGAAGACCCTCTGCTCATGGGGCAGAAGCACGTGGCTGGAGGAGGCTGGTGGTACATGTGCATGCTCAGGGTGCCACTAAGTGGAATGAAGTTACTCAGACCTTTCTCCTTCCCCTTCAGGTACAACAGAACTCCTGGATGCAATGATGGGTAGCCCAGGGCAGGGCTCATGCATCATTGCATGTAGATTATGCCACATTTCCTTGACCTTGGATTCCTTGGGTCCTCAGTGAGTGAGTAGCAGACCATGGGTCCTTTAAGTCAGAGAAGGAAAGGCTGGGTCTCTCATAGCCATGGACTTACATTAATGAGGCAGTGTGGGCCAAAGACAGGACAGCTGTCTTAGGATCTAGTTAAACTTCTGCTGTTCTACTGGATAGTCAAGTCAGTTTGAGCTCATCTCTTAGTCTCTGAAATGTTTTACCAACCTATGAAATACAGGTGGCCAAGGAAAATGAAATAAAAACTCAAAGAATTTGGAATTTGAATGATCCTTGGAGATCACCCTGACCAGCTGCTTCATTTGGCAGGTCAAAAATCAAAATCAAAATCTTGGGAGGGAAACTTACTGACTCAGAGTCACATCGGAAACAGAGAAGCCAGGTCACATGCTCAGGAGTCTCAGTTCCTGGTCTAGCGTTGGCTGTGATCTGCTAGCCAGTCTTGCAGCATTCTTTCATCTTGCTTTGCCCATGGAAGTGGAAGTATCCACAGTATGGACCACATTACATGCATAAGATGCTTTTTGGGGAAAAGAGAGATAAGTAACCACTATTAGAGATAGGCCTGGCTAAAGGGGGTCTAGGTCTGCACTGGTCTTAGCAAGACAGAAGCAGCTTGGGATGGACAGAAACTGAAATGTTCTGGTCCAGTGCTTGTCCCAGCAAGAGAAGGACTAAACTGAAGATGAGCCAGCCCAGGAAGACTGAGACCCCAAAATATCAGGTTAGAACAATCTCAATCTGGCATAATTTAGGCACATCAGGGTGCATGGTGGCATAATCTACAGTGGACAAGATCCAACTTCCTCTTTGTAACTTTCTTCATGCGGCTGACCTGACCAGTCTTTGTCTCTTTGTTCTTGCAGTGTGTGGCCAACCCTCCCGCTCTCTGCCAAACCTGGTCAAGCGGATCATCGGGGGTCGGAATGCTGAGCCCGGCCTTTTCCCATGGCAAGCCCTGATAGTGGTGGAGGACACCTCAAGGGTGCCAAATGACAAGTGGTTTGGTAGTGGGGCCCTGCTCTCTGAGTCCTGGATCCTCACTGCAGCTCATGTGCTACGCTCACAGCGCAGGGACAACACAGTGATACCAGTCTCAAAGGAGCACGTCACAGTCTACCTGGGACTGCACGATGTGCGGGACAAATCAGGAGCTGTCAACAGCTCAGCTGCCATGGTGCTGCTCCACCCAGACTTCAACATCCAAAACTATAACCATGACATAGCTCTGGTGCAGCTGCAGGATCCCGTGCCCCTGGGACCCCGTGTCATGCCCATCTGCTTGCCAAGGCCAGAGCCCCAAGGCCCAGCCCCCCACATGCTGGGCCTGGTAGCGGGCTGGGGTATTTCTAATCCCAATGTGACAGTGGATGAGATAATCAGCAGTGGTACACGGACCTTGTCAGATGTCCTACAGTATGTCAAGTTGCCTGTGGTGCCACAGGCTGAGTGCAAAACCAGCTATGAGTCCCGCTCAGGCAACTACAGTGTCACCGAGAACATGTTCTGTGCTGGCTATTATGAAGGTGGTAAGGACACATGCCTTGGAGACAGTGGTGGAGCCTTTGCCATCTTTGATGACTTGAATCAGCACTGGGTAGCCCAAGGCCTGGTATCCTGGGGAGGCCCTGAAGAGTGTGGCAGCAAGCAAGTCTATGGTGTCTACACAAAAGTTGCCAACTATGTGGACTGGGTTTGGGAGCAGATGGGCTCCCCGCAGGGCCTGGGGAAGCTCCAGGTGGAGCGGTGAGCGGATTCCTAACCTCAGAGCCTGTCTGTACCCTGGCCCAGCCCAGGGGAGGCTGCAGCACACTCTTCCAACCGCACACTCCATGTTATTGACCAGATCACAGGGGATGGCACACACTGACCTACTGGGGAGCCCATTCTCCCAAGACAGCCCCTGGGACCCTGAAAAGGCAGTGTTGTGGTAGAAGGAAAAGGCTCTAGGCAAGAGACCTGCATCTGTGACCTCAGCCAAGTTCTCTCCCCTCCCAGCACCTCACTCTCCCTAGTCATGTAATGAGGAAGCTGGACTAGAAAGCCTCTGGGCCAATCCAAGCATTCCTCTCCTGCCTGGGCCTTACACCAGTGGTATTGTGCACCCCAATCACTTACCAAATCTATTGGTCCCATGATTGGCACAACTGAGTTTGAATCCAATGATCAGAAATATCTCCCTACTTTGAACTAAACTTTGCAACCCTCTATTTCTCCAGATATTCCCTCTAGGGGAATTAATTCTATCCCTTCTGCTTAAAAAGTACCAGTCAGGATTGGGGAGACATGGACCACAACCTGGTATCCCTTCTCTTTTAGGCTAATTCCTCAGGAAACTTTTATCTCTGGGATTTGGTCCCCAAAAGTTTCTTGCACTCCAAGTTCTCTCCTTTAGGTTATTAAGGGAACTTCAAAAGACAAAGAGTAACCTCAAAGGTTTATGTTGATTAGGGGAGAAAAGCAGCAGTGAAGTCTGCTCAACCCTCTTAAATTCCTACTGCTGATTAAGATGCATAATTTGGGCCCATTCGCCTTTATCAAATGCCAGCTGACATCACAGGGCATCTCAC